GGGCGCGCAGCTTGACTGTGGAGGTGTGCGAGGTTTCCGTTGCCCCAGCCCTCGGGTTCAGCCAGATCCCTCCAGGACGAGGCTCTGCCGCGTGTATGCCGGCCACCCCCCTCTCCTGTTACCGCCCGCGGCCGAGGGCGCGCTCGCTGACGCCAGGCACGTCCTTAACGGAGCGCTCCGAGCGTCACTGACTACCAGCCACAGACTGAGTCATTTATCCGTAACTTTCCGCTGGGAATCCAGCCGTTTTTCAAGGCTGTTCTTCAAGCCCATATTTCCTCAACTTAAAAATCAAAATTCTGTGGGAAATGGCATAAAGAGACTTCAGATGTTAAGCTGTATTGCCATCAGCTCTAAACCATCATCCACGCTTACTTACTGCACCATGAAAGACAGTCACGTTGGACAAGCAACATGACAGCTGAAGAACTAAAAACGAGAAGGGTAACGCAGGCCGGCCGTCCATTTGTTTTCATAAACAAGACCCTAATCTCACTCTCAACAGCAGGCCAGCGTGGCTTTTTCCAGCTTTGAGCCTAACTGTTTAGCTTAAAGGCAAGAAAACATTGATTAACTGGAGAATAGTGCCGCCTTCGGCTTGGTAAGTGGCACAATTTATAAAAGTCTGCCAAGCATCATGCTCCAGTTTTGCCAGCCATGACCCTAACTGCCCCAACAGTCCCAGGTCCATCCGAGGATGGAGAACTGCTGAGCAGAGCTCGACCTACAGAGCTCCCCTCTTGGAAAACTCTTTGGTTTTCCCAGTCCTAACCTAACCTCCATCCCACACACCTCTCGGTTGTCTTGCAGTTGTGCTCTTTTCAGCTCATCGAGAAGAATTTTTCCGTCGCTGTTACAGAACATAGCTCTTGTTTGGATAGCTGTGCTAAAAGGCCACAGCAGGGATCAAAACTCAGGTGTATGAGGCAAAAATACATGTGACTTACTTTCTTGGGAACAGTCCGCGCTACTCGAGTCCCTTTTCCTGAAAAGGAAGTTGATTTAGGTTACACTAACTTGTTATTTTCCATTTTATTTCTTCTAGTTTGACTAAATCCTGCAGTTTCAAATACTATTTCCGCATCTCCAGCCAGACTGATAGTAGTTATATTTGATTCTGCGTTCAAAAGGGAACTTTCTTGTAAAGGCAGAGATGATTAAAGTCACTGTGGAAAAAGTTGATCTTGGAGATGTCTACGACATTGGAAGGGATGGAGATGATGTTTTTCTTTACTAAAATGAATCCTTGGGAATAAGCGTCTTCGAGAAATTAATTCTTTCATTTTTATTTTCTGCTATGTAGTGCATACCAATGATTACAAAACCCAAACCATTGACACTGTTGTTTTCAGTTTGCTTCCTTGGATGTATCTTGAGTTGAACTTTATGAAAAAGCTCTTCCACGTTTGATCTGAAAGTTTTTGTTCCTGACTGCATCTGGCAGAATTCAGGCCAAAAACCAGGCTTTGCCCAACTGTTTTCAACCGTTTGTTGAAACGGAACAACCTGTGGGGGTGCTCACTGTCCGAGAGGGCTCGGGGGCAGGCGGCGACGGAGGGGTGGGAGCCTGCGCCAGCCTGGCC